TCTTCTTAAGTTTGTTGTGGCTTATTTTATGGTTCTGCATATGGTCTGTTTTCGTGAATATTCCAAATGCATTTGAAAAACATGCGTATCGGTCATTGAATGGAATGTTCTGTAAATGTTCATCATGTCAGGTTAGTTGTTAATGTTGTTAAATCTTCTATCCGTAATGATTTTCTGTCATTGTTCTACAGTTACTGAGAGGATTGGTGAACTTATCAGGGATTTTTCCTGATATCTATTTTTCCATGCTATTTTGTCAGTATTTGCCTCGTACAATCTTGGACCTTTACTTTTACATGTGAATACTTTTTATGTATTTATTTTTATTTGGAAAGCAGAGACAGAGATTTTTCATCCAGAATCACTTCCCAAATGTCCATCATGATCCCTCGGCTGGGCCATGCCAAAGCCAGGATCCTAGAACTCCACCGATGCCCCAAGTGGCACCTAGGGGCACTTGCTGCCTCCAAGGAGGCTGGAATCAGATGCGGAGCCAAGACATGAACACAGCCATTCTGGTCATGAATGTGGGTGTTCCAAGCTGAAGCTTAACTGCTACACCAAGCACCTTCCCCCTAGATGTGTACGTGTAGGACTTTTTGAAAACCCTTTACATGAAATGATTACACATACCTTCATAGACTGTTGATCTTTACCCTTGGTAAAATTTCTTGTTTGCTTTTGTAGAGCTGCTTCAACTTTCTTGTGATTTTACACGTTGTTTTTCTATTTACTTTTAATATATCTATGTCTTTATTTCAAGTCTGGTTTTTAGAGGCAATAAATAGTTGGGCCTTACTTTTGTACTTAATCTGAGAAACTGCGTTTTTTGTTGAGGTATGTAGAGCATTTATGTTTAATGGGCTTATTGATATGATTAGTTGAACTCTATCATCTTGCTATCTATTTTTTATTTATCCATGTGTTCGTGCTCACTTCGACGGCACATATACAAAAATATTTATCCATCTGTTCTGTTTCTTCTTGTCCTATCTTTTTTTGGATTGCTGAAGTCTCTAGAGACTTTTAAAAAGATTTATTTATTTTCAATGGAAAGTCAGGTATACATAGAGGAGTACAGACAGATAGGAAGATCTGTCCACTGGTTTACTTCCCAAGTGGCTGCAACGGCTGGAGCTGGGCTGATACGAAGCCAGGAGCCAGGAGTTTCTTCCAGGTCTCCTGTGCAGGTGTAGCGTCCCAAGGCTTTGGGATATCCTCTACTGCTTTCTCAGGCCACTCCCAGGGAGTTGAAAGGGAATTGAAGCAGCGGGGACATGAACCAGTGCCCATATGGGATCCAGGCGCATTCAAGGTGAGGACTTGAGTCACTAGGCTACCACGCTAGGCCCACGTTTAGAGATTTTAATATACATTTTTAACTTCTCATACTATACCTTCAGATATAATTGTGCTACTTCACATACAGCATAAGAACTTTGTACTTCTATTTTCTGATTCCTTTACAGTTCTGACATAATTTTACTTTTGCATTTATTATAAATGCCACATCAGATTTAGAAATACACCAAATATGCTAATTTTGAAGCTTCATTGGGCTGGATCTAGTATACGGTTTTCATCAGGATAGGGCAGATGTGCTACGAAGCCTGCCTTTCTGCTCCAGCCCTGTTTTGTGTTCCTCAGTGTCTGTACTTGTGCCAAGGAGAACTCACAGGTCTTCAGGTACTGTGGGGAGCCTGGGGGTTGTCTAGCTACAGCCTATTGGAATTGTTTTTGCTCATTCTTAGGGAGTTTTTTCCCTGTGTAAAACTCTGTGTATAACTTAGTATTCATTAAGATAATTAATTCTCTGTGCACCTACCTGGAGCTGTTCCTGTTTCTTCTCTAGACTTGGTCCTAAAGCTCCAGCCAGCCCAATCTTCTCACCTTAGCAAGTGTGTCATCTTCTGCTTGGTTTCACATCCCATGATCTGTACCTTTAGGCAGAAAGTTGGGGAGAATTAAAACTCACCTCAATTGTTTGTGATCCTATCTGCCAGGAATCACGGTCTCAGGCATTGTGTAGCTTAATCTCTGGAGACACCATATATATATATATTATATCATTTTCTGGTTGTTATAGTGTAAGGATAATTGTGGTCTTACTCCTTCTGCACTTTACACATCTTTGAAGAATTTATCTTGAGCTTTTTCTTTCCATTTTTTGGTGCAATTTATTGGTGGAAAATATTATGTTGTTAGTTCTATAAGATAACCCACAATTCATATTTTGCTTGTGTGTCAAATGTGTAATGTAACACGTTCCTGTTTTATAGCTGATAGGATGATGCCTGGATCTGGCTGTGCTTGTAAGCTCACCTCCAGCCACTAGATGTCAGGAGAACTCCCTCCCCAGCACAGGAACCAGCACCATCCCCGGACACTATCCGGTGCCTTTGGATCTGGGTCCCTCCGTGACTAGTAGGCTACTTAAGGTAACACCATCAGCTTCAAGAATATGAAGACACCGACCTAGACGATTTAACAATATTGGTGATTTCACCTCTGCAGACTGAAAAATGAACTGTTCAGGCTGGTATCACACACATTTTGAAAAACTAGAGATTTTAGGAATATCTAAATGGAAGCTGCTCAAAATGGGTAACTTAAGAGCAGTGTTAATATAGAGATTGTGAATTTCTGCTTGAGAAGGAAAAATTCTAGAGATAAGGAAAATATAAAATATTAAAAAACATAAGCAGTTTCAATCATGTTGCTCCAAGAAATGTTTTTCTATAACTTGAACAATTTAAGATGATGAAATTCTATAATAGATAAACTGACAACTTTACTTTTTATTTTGAGCACTTCACAATTTTATTGTAAGCCAAGAATTTTGAATTTGCAGAAACGTATATTTTGCATTGGTATACATTTTATTGCTGAAATACATTTTTTATGATACAAAATTAATTTAAACAAATTGAGTCTGGGAATTAGAATCTTTTAAAAGTGACTAAATTTTTGCAAATATTTGTAAGTGTCACCTCTTGAGAGAAAGGTAGCATGTAATTTTTTTTTTTTTAAGATTTAGTTCCTTTTATTGGAAAGGCAGATTTACAGAGAGAATGAGAGAGATCTCTTATTTTCTGATCTACTCCTCAAATGGCTGCAGTGGCCAGAGCTGAGTCTATCAGAAACCAGAAGCCTAGAACTCCTCTCGTGTGGGTGCAGGGGCCCAAGAACTTGGGTCATCCTCCACTTCTTTCCCTGGTCATAAGCAGGGAGCTGGATGGGAAGTGCAGCAGCTGGGACATGAACCAGCACCCATAAGGGATGCCAGTGCTTGGAGGTAGGGAATTAGCCAAGTTGAGCCATTGCGCTGGCCCCTAATAATTTTTTTAAAACGGAGATTTATGAAGTAGATTAAGACTTTCCCCTGCAAGTCTTTTGTAATTTGACCGTTTTGAATTCTGTGAAGACCTCTTTGTCGGTTTTTTGTCAGCGTTTCTTTGAGAATGGTCCAGAGATTGGTGTGCCATGCAGTGTACTGAGAATAACCCAGAACAGATGGGGGCAGGAGCCACTGTGCTTCCTGCAGCTCTGTGGTGTCCCTCACTTTCCACTCATCAGTGACTTCCTGTCCCTGGGTCATCATTCTCTCCTGACATCTGAAGGAATGTTTTTCATTTTCAGTATTCCTAAATTTGATCCTGGTCTAACTGTGTTTAATGCTGATGTGTACGTTTTTAAAAATTGAGTCTGAAAAAGTAACTGTGGAGCCAGGTAACTAAAGGGCCTTGTTCTCATATTTCTATTTTCCAAGTAACAGCCTAGGGTGGTGATGGGGGGGGGGGGGTCTGTGGCTTTATTTCTCTCAGGACTGTTTGCATGTGTGAAGCATCCTTCAGTCCCTCTGTCAGCGGGTGGTCTCTTTTTTTATCCTGCTTATCTTGGTCTCCATCTTATTTTTATTTTCCCTGTCTTAGGTCTTTGTTCTTCCTTCTCTGGCCTGCTTTCCCTGCACTCCCCTCTTGTGTACTGTGGCTCCTGTCGCTGTCACACACCATCTCAGGAATTTGTTCATATTGTCAGTGACTTTTCAGTCAGAAACACATCCACTGCATTGAGGAGAATGGCAGATAAGGTAAAACGCAAAATACTTTATTAAGAAATTTGAGGTGGACTTCCTCAGACTTCCCTCAGGAGACTGCTTGGGCATCACAGGTTGCCATTTCCAGTGGGGTGAGAAGGAAGTGTGTCTTGGAGGCTTCCTGAGTATTTGTGGTGTGCCACTGTACTGTTGTGGTCCAGATTTGAAGGTGCAAAATTTGAGTCAACTGAGGCTGAAAAACCCAGCGTGGAGTTCAAGTAACCGAGGGAGCACATACATTTCCCCAACGCTGTCAGTCCAAGAGCGCAGAGGGCCCTCTGGGCTTTGTCTGTGGTGTTTTCTCAGGTTCTCCTAGGCTGCGCCCATCACACCTGCTCCTTTTCCTGTCGTGGGCGGGTGGTACTGGTGGTGGTCGTGGTGGTGTGGGTTTGTAGGGGGAGGATTCCTACCTGCCGGCTTCCCTGGCACTCGCTGTCCTGCGTCGGTTCTGGGCCCCCTCCCCAGTGTGGCTCTTCAGCCCCAGCTCTGCCCCCCCGTGAGGGGTGCGGTGTGGGAGCGAGGACCTTCGTGCCCCGTCTCCTTCCTTAGGCACTCTACCTTAGACGCCAGGCCGGTTGAGAGTGCCAAGTTGCAGGTTGAAGAAAGGCCTAAGCGGACGGTCTTATCCCAGCAGCTCCGTCTCAGCTGGGCCAGGTCCGTGTTCCCGCTTTACCTGTGTGGGCCGCACCACAGGGACGTCTCGGTCCCTTAAGGGGGTCCAAGCAAATGACTTACAGGCACGGCCGTCAGCCAGCTCCAGGTCTCAGTGACTTCCCCCCGTCCCGCGTCGCGCGCCCCCTCCCTTCCTCCCCGACCGGCCGCGCGGACGCCCGAGTCCCGCCCCCGGGCAGCGCCGGCCAATGGGCTGCGTCCCGGGGCGGGCCGGGGCGGCGGCGGCCGGCGCGGTGGTGGCGGTAGCTGCAGGGGCGGCGGCGGCGGCGGCTTGGCCGGGCGTCCGCGGGCCGTGCGTGGGGGATGGGGGCGGCGGGCTGCAGCCCTCGGGGGCGGCGGCGGCGGCCGTGAGCGCGGGGCGGGCGTCCGCGTGCGGGGCGCGCGATGGAGCGCCACGGTGAGTGTGGGGCGAGCAGCCTTGCGAGTTGGCGTTTCGGTCGGGGTCGTCGGGGAGACTGGGACCCGAGCGCGGGGAGGAAGCGGGTGGAGGAGCTGGGGGGCAGCGGTGGTGGCGAGCGTTAGGAGCCGAGCGCGGCGCGTAGACCCTTCCTTCCTGCCCCTGTGGGCGATTCCCTTCCCGTCTTGGCACGGGCGGCCGGGGGGCTCCACGGGCTGCGGGAGCGCCCGGCCCCGCGGTGACAGCGTGGGCACCTCGCACCGCGCTGCCCCGGGTCCGAGCACGGCCCGCTCCCGGGGGGCGCTCCTTCCCTGGCTTTCGGGTCTCAGCCCTCAGGAAGGTTTGGTTTCACCGCCTCACTTCTGGCGGTGTCCTGGTTCTGCTTGGGACTTGTTGGAGTGGGACAGGGGAAGGGCGGGTGACGGCGTTCACTCAGAAGGCACTTTTCCCTCCTTGGCCGACGAGCTCGAGTCTGAGACATTTCCAGTTGGAGCCTTAGAGCCTCGTGTCTCTATGTTTAGAGCCTCGTGTCTCTGTGTTTATCAGCTCTTTTTAGAAACCCTGTTTCTCATACCTTTGCGGAGGGCTGGTTTACCTGCTCCGGGGCGGGAGCGCGGCACTCCTTCGCCTTTATCTTGTCCGGATTGTAATCTCAGGTCTGCGCTGGGTCTTTGTACCTCCGGTCCATATCTCCTAGGGGGCTCTCCCCGCCCCTGGCGTTCAAGTCCGGGACGGGGAACGTGCTCTTTGGCATTGTGTGGTTCTGGCTGCTGCAAGCAGAGAGCCCTGCCCGCCAGGAATGCTAGACATTGTGCAGGCGTGGGAGGCCGGGCAGCTTCCTCCCGGTCCCAGCTGCCCGGCAGTGCAGCCTCTGGGGTTGCACGCCTGCCCCTGGAGAACACTCGCTTGTTCCCGGTCACCTGTCTCTGACACGTCTGTTGTTTTTTGTTTTGTTTTCCCTGGTAGGGAAGAAATAGAATTAAAGAGCTTCAGAATGACCTCTTGTGGTTTTTCGTGTGTGTGTGTTTTAAAGAATCTTAAACGGATTCTTAGCATTTGTGCTGAAATAAGAGATTTCTAAAATATCTGACAAGTTTTCCTCAGGTAGAAACAGAACGGCGGAAATTGTTAAGTGCATGTGTTTCGGGGGCATCTTTCCTCTTGAGTGGGAGTGGGTGATAGCTGCGTTCTGACGGTGAAGTGCGTGAGACTGAATTAACACAGGCTGGGCTGGGGGTTGTGAAACACATTTTAGGGGACAGGAAATTTCTGCCTACGTTTGTAATGCAAATATCACTTAGAATTGAGAACATACAAAGTCCACTTACTTCAGGGTTCTTTGAAAAGTGGATAATCTGTGTTTTCACTGCCTGTTTAGATTTGGAAGATGCATGAGAATTAGTTTCACAAATATTTTGCTCAACATTCTGTTTGCACAGCTCCAGCTTTATTTGGAAGTCCTGTGGTAGCTTTCCACGAAGCCAGTCAAGTTTCTGGAATTGTTTCTTGCCATGATTTCTTGTTCACAGGCTACGCATAGGTTGAAGTCACATCTTGTTTGTTAAAATATATTTAAAAACAGTTGCCTAAAGCAAAGCAATGTTAGTAATAATAGCAGACAATTCCTTGGGTTTTCATGATGAGCTAAACATTGTGTTAAGCACTTGCCATGCTTTATTACCTAATTTAGTTAAACTGCCACTTGAAATCCATTAGTGATTACATTTTATGTTACCACCAACTAGAGATTATTTGTTCTAGTGCATGGAAAACTAGTGTGTGTAGTCTTGAAAAAAGTGGATATTATCTGGGTTTTCTTAGATCTAGATTACAGTTACAAAATGGGGCTTTGTTGTTGTTAATCACTGTCAGTTTTATTGGGATTTCAAAGAAGTCTATCTCATTATAATAAGGAATGTTTAGATCTCAGCAATCAAGAAAATACTTTTCATTGTTAAAAAAATTTTGCAAGCTTATTTCTTCTGTTTAAAGTACTTATTAACCTCTGTGGAAGCTCCATAACACAAGACTAACAGTGCAAGTGCTTAAGAAAAGCCTTACATTTTTGAAAAAGAAAATAAATTGGAAAGGAAATTGCGCGTGATGGAAGAGTCAGAGCTTATCTCTGCACTTGGCCACTACAGGCAGGTGGGCTGGGGAGTTGATTAGGTGGAAGTTTGTAAGAAGTGACCATCCAGCTGGCATTTTAAAGGTGACGCCTATTCCTGGGGGTCCAGTGGTAGCTTCCTTTTCCTGCAGCTTAGAAAATGTCATCCAGGGCTCTGAGATCCTGGGAATAACAGGTGGGTGCTTCCAGAATTCCAAGTCAGTAATCAGATGACAGGCTGAAGTGGAGCTGTGAGCCTGCGGCTGACTTCGCAGCTGTGCCTCAGACCTGCCTTGCAGCCGTGTTTGTGTCACGTCACTGTTTTTCCTCCTCTGGTATCTGCTGCACCTCTTACCTGAAGTCCTATGCGATACCTGTGTTTGGAGCCAAACTGGAATACAGAAAACTCTTTGTCCTGGTGAAGGCTGTTCCTGGTCAGATGCCTTTCCTGTGGCGAGTGCTTCGTAATTCACTTTTCCTCTGCGTGAAGCTATAAAGTGGAGAAGCAGGAACAGAATTAAAGTCACCACATACAGTGACAGGACAGTCTGCCAGTAGGATGGCCAGTTGGGTCTATCTTAGTATCACCTCAGTTTGGAACTTGGACAAGAGATGCAGGAGAGGCAGCATGTGAAATTTGGAGCTGCAAGAGTAAAATTGGTAAGATTAGTCTGGCTAGCCTGGCAAGGGGAGTATCAAAGCGGTAGAATTCCACAAGGCTCACCAACAGGAGTGAAGATGTGGGAGGTTTGAGGCCATCAGATTTGCTTTATATCCCATCTGGTATACACAGTGGTAATTCCATGATTTTCACCTCAAGATTTTAGCCCCATCGTGTCAAACTTGACATGATCTCTGTTCCATGATGATGTGGCAAGCAAAGTACATCTGCTTCAAAATGTTGAATATTCTGTCAGAATATTGAGAAACTGAATAGGATATTCCTGGCGAATCAGTGCTTGTTGGCACTTTCTTCACATCTGGGGTTGACGTGTTTGTGTCCTAGGTTTCTTCTTTTTTCTTTGGTGGTTGTGTATGCATTTCCAGTTTCATTAGGTCAGGCATGACTCTCCCCACTGCAGGGTAGCTGTCACTCCTTGGGCGTCTTCCCCTTCTGCAGGTGTCTCCTTCCCAGGCCTGGGCCTCCACTTTGGCCTCTGGCAACCCACTGGACCATCTGAAGCAGCACAGGGCCCCCAACACTCCAAGTCAAAAAACCTGAATTCAGTTTATCTCAGTTGTAGTGTTTTCTTTTTCCAGTTTGAAATATGAAAATGTAAAGTGAGCATAACAAAATGAACACATTAATCATAATGCTGACCAGCTGTAGGTTGTACTACTTTATAGTTCCTTAGTTTACCCCCTCCACCCTACCCCTGTGTTTGTGTGTTGTATTTTAAACAGGCTGAATCTTGTCTGAAAGTGCTGAATATTTTTGAAATGCTTCTGCAATTTTGAGTTTGCAGTTGAATTCATAATCTTTTTTACAGACTTTTTTTTAAAATGAAGATTTATTTATTTGAAAGGCAGAGTTACAGAGAGGGGGAAAGATAAATCTTCTATCTGATAGTTCACTCCCCAAATGGCCACAATGGCCAGGGACAGGCCAGGCTGAAGCCAGGACCAAGGAACTTCGTCTGGGTCTCCCACACTAGTGCAGGGGCCCAAGGCCTTGGGCCATCTGATGCTGCATTTCCAAGCACATTTGCAGGGAGCTGAATAAAGCAGCGTAGAGTGTCAGCATACAGGCAGTGGCCTAACCCACCTACCACAATGTTGGCCTGCATAAATTGTTTTATTTGACATTTATTATATATGTCTTTAACTTTTCTAGCCATCTTTATCATTGACTTATAAAAGTGAAATGACTTTATGAAGTCAGTTGCTGCCGTGCTTTAGATTGTTACACTCATCAACCTTCTGTGTGACTGAGAAAAGAGCTGCCAGACAGGGCTTGTAGTTTTTCTGTTTTGCCTTGTTTATTTTTGTTGGTGAGGAGAGTTAGATGTGATAATTGTGCTCAAAAATTGCCCTAGAGTCACTTTAGATGTTATCTCTATTTTTGAAGAATTTACGTTGGATAGGTTGGAATTAGCTTTAAGTATAGAAATTACACTTTCAAAAATCATTTGCTATAATGATATTGAGTTTAAGAATTTTAAAAGCTATTAGGATAATATTGGGACACCCTATTTAATAATCAAGAGAAACAATATAAATCCAACTTTGATTTCAGTTTTATTCTTCACTATCATTGAGCTTCATGTGCTTTTTACTTTAGATTTTTTTAAAAAAAGAATTATCTTTTCCCCCAGTAATAGCACAAGAACCTAGAGTTAAGTATTATTTCTATAAAAAACAAAACTTTGTAAGTCTGTTACTCCTTCTGCAAATCTCTTGTTCATTTTGACGATAGTTTTGTATAAGACATTGTCATATACCAGACACTATGCTGAGCAGAGAATATATGGTTAGCAAACATGAATACGTGGTCATGATAGCCTTGAAGTCATAGTATAGATTGGAAGACATGAGTCAACCTGTTTGGACTGTGAGAAGTGCAGTGATGGACAGTTCTGGATGCTGTAGAGCATCCGATGGAAGATTGAGCTCTGGTTTGGTGGTGGTTACAGGGAAGTGGCCCAGAAAGGTTTCATTCAGTAATTGCTCTGAGAACGGAGATCAGAATGGATGAAGGAAGCAGTCTTCCAGGCAAATGAAACTGTCAGTGCAGTCCTGACCCTAACCGTCCATGTTTCCAAGACTGTAGAATCGTTATTACACATATAAATTGATCTGGTGAATTGCAACCAGAATTTTAAAAAATGAAGTGATATAGAATAATTTTTAAAAATGGTCTGAATACAACAAAGTGACCCTATCCAGAACCTGCTTTCTGAAATATAAATGTGCTCTTAAACCCACATACCCCCCCACACATACTTGACATGTATACGGGCTCGTGATGTTTAGTTATTTCTTGCTGAAGGTCATGCTACACAAACATTGTTAGAGGAATGAGAAGGAAGTGTGTGGCAGGCATGTTAAGAACCAGGAGTGTGACTTTTATAATATTACCAGGTTGATAAATAGGAACCACTTTTTACTTGGAGCTTTCTAGAAGAACATGGTGGCTTTTCACATGTCATTTGCTCAAATAACATGAGAGTTAATTGTTTTAGAAATTCACTCTCTGTTTCGAATGGGACAAGAATGGATGTAGAGAGATCATAAGGAAATTAAGAAGCACCAGCAATTCACTAGTGTTGTAGCAGTAGAGATAGAGGGAGGACAGGAGGTTGGGTGGGCAGTGCAAACTACCTGTAATTAAGCTTTTCTGTGTTGGGCATTTTGTGCCATGTCTCGTTTAGTCCTTATAAAAGTCTCCTGAGATACTTGCTGTCAGGGCATTATTCCCATTCTGTAAGCAAGCATGCGTAAAAGAAATGACCAATAGCTTGTTAGGTGAAAGAGCAGTGATGAAAGAGGTTTTAGAAAGCAGGTATTTGTTTTGTCCAAGCTCATTGCATCTTTTGTTTTGAAGACAGTATGGTGGAGGGAGAGTATGACCTCCCGCTAAAGGATGTTTCAGAACAGTGTTTGCAGTGTGAAAAATCCCATTACCTAGGAATCAAGAAGAAATGACTGTAACAGTATAGATTTTGACATCAAGACAGATCTAAATTGAAGTCTCATGTAATTATTTAACTGTTGAGAGCTTAGACAAAATTGCAAGTTCTAAACCTCATTTGTGAAATGAGAAGAATGCTAGTTTGTATATCACAGCGTCATCAAGATTCCTGGCACTTAACAGCACAAGTGCCATTGGCGGTGCAGCACTTATTTTTTAAATTGTATGATGGGATACCGAGGCGGGCTGAGGCTATTTGTGAAAACTACTGTAGTGTTTCCCTGTCTGATGTAGTATTTGTGTTTTTTTGTCTTTGTTTCCTGCCCCCTTGAAGGATTGCAGATGTTCTGACCGGTAAATGAAAGGATGATTGCTCACAAACAGAAAAAGACAAAGAAGAAACGCATTTGGGCATCAGACCAGCTGTCTACTGATGTTACGACTTCGGAAATGGGGCTCAAATCCTTAAGTTCTAATTCCATTTTTGATCCAGATTACATAAAAGAGTTGGTGAATGACATCAGGAAGTTTTCCCATATGTTACTATATTTGAAGGAAGCAATTCTTTCAGGTTTGTCAAGTCTTTTCTCTTACCGTTCTTGCTGGATAGTTTGTGAGTTTTAAATGCCAGGGTTGCGATAGCTAGCTGTGCACAGGAAGGGAGGAGTAGGGTATGCATCTGTGCTTATGATCCCTTATCTTTTATGGCCAATTGTGTGATGTTTACAGTGTAAACTAATTTACAATTAAATAATAGTGCCAAACGTAATAGATGCTTTGAAACATGTTGGAGAACAAGAGTACAGAATATAAAAATCAGTGTTTGATTCCTAGCATTTGTAACTATTTGAAGTGAGAACATTTAAGATTACTTGATGGAGATTTTAGCCTTGTTAATGGTAACATGGTATATTGATTGCTCTTTAATAAGCAGACTAGTGTTTATAATTTACATTGACATCACTTTGACCTAAATTCAACTTCCCATAATGTCAAAACTTAATCTAAAAAGACCGCTTTGGGATTTTGTTTTTTCTCAAAAATGAGGCATAACTCTGTTTTGCTAGTCTGTAACCTTTGAAAAATTATTTCGTTTCAATTGAAAGGTAAAAGAGAGAAAAAGATCTACTGGCTTACTCCCCCAATGCCTGCAGCAGCCAGGATTGGGCCAGGCTGAGGCCAGAATCTCAGCATTCAGTCCAGGTCCCCCACATAGGTGGCAAGGACCCAAGTGCTTGAGCCTGTCACCTGTGCTGATTACAGCACAGGAAGCTGAAATTAGAAACAGCTCAAACTTTTACCCAGGCACTGTGAAATGGAATGTGGCTCTCAAGTGGCATCCTAAGCGCTGAGTCAATCAAGTCCTGTTCCTGTAACCTCTTCTTCGGTAAGGGGTAATCACAGATTTTACTTTCTGTTTAGTTCAGAGCTATGTCGTGTAATGCCTGCATTATCTTTTGGTTTGGCCGTGCCAGGGCAACTGCCAGCAGGGTTCAAAATTCAGTTAATCTATAGCAAACGAATTTTTTAAGTTTATAATTTTAGATGGTCCACAGATGATGTCATAAATATCTCAATGGCCATTGGCAGTTAAGGTTTCCCACCTGTGGTTTGGTTGAAATGAATGATGGAGGGGCCGTCCCTGTTTCCTATCTGGTTAAACTGCTGCCTGGTATCCTGGCATCTCAGCTGGATGCTGGTTGGAGACCTGGAGACCTGCTTCTGCTCCCTTCTAATGTGGGAAAGCAGAAGGTGGCTGGTTAGCCGTTTTGGCCCTTGTGAGAGTGAACCACAGACAGACAGAAGAGCTATCTTGCTCTGTCTCTCTCTTTGTAACTCTGCCTTTCAAATAAATAAAATACATCTTTTACAAAGAAGAAAGAAATGGATGATGAAGCACAAAACTTGATTCTCTTAAAGTATAAGAATATACATCTTCGAGTCTTAGTCTTCCAACTTCTAGTGCCTTTTAATATCCAGATTTGATGGTAATGATAATAGAGATGTAACTTCTATTCTTTGTGACATTCATTTCTTTATATAGTATATTCATATATGAAAAGTGATACTTCTCCCTATAATCTATCACATCTCCTCAGTCTTCATAGAAATTTATGAAACGTCAGCAAATATTTCTTTTTTATAAAGATTCATTTATTTTTTTTTTTTAGAAAGATTTGCAGAGAGAAGGAGAGACAGGAAGATATCCATTGATTCACTCATCAAGAGGTTGCAATGGCTGGAGCTGAGCTGATCTGAAGCCAGGCTCCTGGAGCCTCTTCCGAGTCTCCCACATGGATGCAGGGTCCCAGGGCTTTGGGCTGTCCTCAACTGCTTTCCCAGGCCACAAGCAGGGAGCTGGATGGGAAGTGGGGCCACTGGAATTAGAATTGGCACCGATATGGGATCCTGGCATGTTTAAGGCAAGGACTTTAGCTCTGGACCTGAAATGTCAGAAAATGTTTCTATATGTGTGAATTATATATTTGTTTGCCGAGGAACATTTTGAAAGGCAAACTAAAGCCCACATCTTGTGCTGATTCTGAGTTGGAGAGCTTATTTCTGGGGTGCGTAATTTCGCGTAGTGGTTAACCCAGTGTGCCTGAATCTAATTTCCAGTTCCAGCCCTGATTCCAGCCACCTGCCAGAGGGGACCTAAGGGGGCAACTGGGAGGCTCAGATGTTGGGTTTCTGCCACCCAGATGGGAGGCTTGGGTTGAGTTCTCAGCACCCAGCCTCTGCCTGCTCACTTCCTGCCATTGCTGGCGTTTGGAAGTATGCCAGAATTTGGAAGTTCTGTGTCTTCCTGCCTCTTAGTTACATATATTGTACATGAAGTTATTTCAGACTAACTTTGGAGGCGAAGTGTCCAGAACAACTAGAAGAATTGAATCCTCCACTTTATAGCTCATTGACTTTTTTCTTAAAACAATAATGTAGGTCATTATTTAGGAAAATCCATTGCTTACACTTCTGTTTAATAGCTTGATTTTGATGTCTAATTATGGATGATTAAATGGCAATAAATATAAGTCTTGTTATTATGGAAAAGTATCCTAAATACGTTAAGTATTGTGTAACTTTTTTTTTTTTACCAAAAGGACACATCTGCCATTTCTATCCTTTCACTTGTACTGTTCTGTAGTTACCACCAGAGCTCTGAGTTTTGACCAGAAGCAAAGAGCTGTAGGTATTTCATTGTTTTTGTTTTAAATTTTTTAGAGTGAAGAGACTTTGTCAGTATTTTGTCATTTGATTCCCCCAGAAAGAATAATGCCCAGTTTTGGGGCTTGTCTCTTACTTTTTACATATCTGTATTACTCTAAAAGGCAGACACAGACACATTTCCATCTGCTGGTTTTCTCCCCAGGTGCTGGAAACAGCCAAGGTTGGGCTTTAGCCAAGAGCCCAGGACTCCATCAGGGTCTCCAGTGTGGCTGGCTGGGACCCACGTTTTTGAGGCACCGCGTGCTGCCTCCCAAGATGTACTCTATTAGGAACGGAAATGGAAAGCTGAGCCGAGACTCAGGCATTCTAACTCGGAATGTGATTTTTAATGTTCTTGGCTGCCCCTGACATCTGCCCCCTGGTTATTATTACCTTTAAAATAGAAAAAGGTTTATTTATTTTTATTTGAAAGGCAGAGTTACAGCATGAAGCAGAGAGGTCTTTTGCTAGTTGCCTCCCCCAATGGCTGCAATGGATGGAGCTGGGCTGATTGGAAGGCAGGAGCCAGGAGCATATTCTGGGTCTCCCATGTGCATGCAGGAGTCCAAGTCCTTGGCTGCCTTCCCAGGATATTAGCAGGGAGCTAGATTGGGACTAGAACTGCAGGGACTTGAACCAGCACCTATATGCTGATGCTGGGGAGTTAGCCTGCTGTGCATAGCACTGGCCCCAGTTATTCCACATATGTTAGCAGTTTAAAAAGCGGAAGAGTTAGCTCTTGAGAATAAGAAATTTGAAGCACAACAGTCACCTTTTGGTTTGATCAGGATATCATTTCTAAGTGTACAGAATCTACCTGTAATGAGACAGTGATATGTAGTCATTCGAGTATGGCCTCAGGTGTTTAAGCATATGGTGGAGGACAAGCTTAGATGAATAACTTTATGGTTAGTTAATGACCACATTTAAAAAAAAAGTTCTTCCCCAAACTAATTATAGAATTGACATATAATTGTATATGATGCTCCTTATGTTTCAGAGTACTTTCACACGCAGACACAGTTAGTCACGTGGTCCCCAGAAGGCAGGTGGGGCTGCAGCAGGGTTGGGCTTGTAGTCCAGTTGCACGGATGAGATGCAGGTATAACTTGGGTGGCATGGCTTTGTTGGCCTCTTAGTGCGGGTAACAGCCTCCTTTGGAACATGGAGATTTTCTCAGTGTAGAATGGTATGCTGTTTCTTGCCATCTCAGCGGAGGTGTTTTGCAGAAAACATTGCTCCAATTTTACATTTCATTAGCCCTCTGTTGTGTACTGTCCAGTAGGGTAACTACTGACCCTACGTGGCTTTTTCATTAATTAATTAATTTGATTACATTTTAAAATTTTGTTGCTGGTACTACATTTCAAGTTCCAAAAAATAAAGATATCAAGAATTTTCATCATTGTTGTGAAAGTATCTGTTAGATAGTGCAGGTCTAGGCATTTGGTCTTTATCAATATTGAGATGAATTCTTAAGCCATACACATTTTATACCATTTAAGGAAGCTAGACAATGTTTTTATTAGTAAACTTAAGAAAATTTTATTATAGAGGTTTGAGATTCTTTTCTTAAATTGCCTTAGAATCATGTAATTTTTGTGCTCTTTTTGAAAGTAGCAAAGCAATTTTCAGCTAGATTGTAGTTTGGGTCGCTTGATATTAGTGGATGGTAGAAAACACTAGAAAGAGACTTAGGATCTGGGTTCTAGGACTAGTTCTGCCACCAAATAGCTTTGAAAGATGACCTCAATTATTTAATCTTTTGTTAAGAACAAGGTGTTTACAACAAATGTTATCCATTTGATGATTCTGTGATTCAAAATTTGATGGGAATTGGGGGTTTTACGTTGTCCAGAATATTGAGTTTGGAGCTGCACAACCCAGCTAAGATTTCTTATATCATGTGCTGCAATTTCGATGGAATTCTAGTCTCTTTAGGATGTTCATGTGAGGTTGGTGATAACTCTGTTAAACGTGATACTGATGAAAATTTCCCGGGTCAGAATGTGAAGCTGTGGTAGTAGGAGAACTAAGGAGATTAAAAAAAAAAAAAAAAAAAAAGAAACAAGTCTTTTGTTTCCCCAGTAGGGTTAAGATACGTAAGCAATTTATCTCTTTTTATTTATTGGCAAATAAAATTGGAGAGCTCCCTGTGGAGACAGGAGACCTGAAAACACGTGGTTTTTGCTTTGCTGGAGTTCAGATTTCCCTTCTCTTGCTAATTTCTTGGAGGAGGTGACTCTATAGTCTTGCACAAATAGCAGGTGTGGAATGTAAAGTTTTAGATCTCTATCCAGTGTCATTAAAGGTGCATTATGAATAATTATAGGGCTCAATCCTCTTAAATGAAAATGCTAAAGG